CTGTTTTGTCTGGCGCGGTCTCTGCTCCACGTCAGGGTGGTGGCGTTGGAGCCCCAGCGCCGTTTCCTGGCAGCCCGTGGTGACTCCTGCCCACCAGGCTCCGCTCGCCCCTGCGGTTCATGCCGGCAGCGAGCTCGGCAGTGCTGGTGATGGGCCCCAGCTCTGCCTCAGCCCCGTGTGGCTGTCGGGCTGTAAAGGAATGGTTCGGCAGGAGGCAAGTAGCTTTCTTAGGAAGAAAAGAGAAAGCAATTTGTATTTGCTGTGAAAGTGTAAAAGGTGGAATCATAGAATCGTTCAGGTTGGAGAAGACCTCGAAGATCATAGTGTCCGACCGTTAGGGTTTGGGTTATTGGGAATTTCAGGCTAGATTCTTTTAAAGTATTGGGACCTAATGAATGCAAACCATGAGAATTCTATCAGTTCTTTTATCTAAAACAATTAGTTGTGCATCCGTATGTTAAATTGGGTATCCCAGCCAAGTAATACATCTGCCATAAGATGTGCTTGTTATTCTTCATGTAGGCTTCTGAAAAGAATTTGATTCCTTCTTTGGAAACCCAAACTGGCTTCAGCATAGGTAGCGGCCTGCTCAGGAGCTAGGGTCACTTTGTCATCCACACTCTGGGGCAGATGTGCTTGTAATTCTGTGAAAAAGACTTTCCCATCATGACTTACAGCAAGTTCCAGGTTTTCTAATTGTATGCCTTTGTATAAAAAACTGAAACCAAATGACCTTCTCACGGTACATGGATGAACTTCTCGGCGGCTGTGCCCCGTCCCCAGCCCTGCAGCACGGGCGCGACATGGGCGGGTGGGAAGCGCGGTGGCGCGAGCGGGCGATCCCTCGGTGCGCAGGTGCCCGCAGGTAGTGGCTGTGGCTCCTTGGCATGTGCTGAAGAGCAGCTGTCAAGTAGTAGTGAAGACTGATATATCTATAAGGGAGAAATAAATGTTGTGTGTTATTCGCTGGTTGCTTTCTAGTTCCTTTTTCTTTATCTAGGCTAAATCCCAATACTCTCCTTTGGAAAAAAGTTCCTGTGGATTAAACACGAGGTACTAAGTGGATGTTTTTGGGGTCTCTAGATCCATAGCAACTTGCTACAGAGTTGTATTAAGGAATGTTCTTTCTCTCTAAGCAGATAGTAGGTAGAAGAGACAGGATTGCTGGTGTCACTAGAACCAGATGTTGGTTCTTACAAATATGTATTACTAATTACTTTAAAAAAAAAAAAAAAGTAGGCATTTTTTTGAAGCAGTAGAAGGCAGGACTTTGCAGACACAGCAGGACGAGTTGAAGTTTGTGACTGGGGTAACCTGAAAGTGCCCTGGAGCAAAGGCCCGGCTGTGGCGAGGCGTGTGGTTTGGGTGCCTGTGCTTGAGAGGGATCGCTCTGGGGATGCAGGGGATGGCCCAAACCAGAGCACCGCTCTGGGGACACTGGCGCTCCGTCCCTGCCCTGGCACCTGCAGTGGCCCTGAGCAGGGTGCCCGACAAGTGGTGTGTGCGCTAGGCTTATTTTTAACCACTGATTCAACAGGCATGTGGCACGTACGTCATACCCCGAGCAAAACGGCGATGGGGAAGGGGTCACGGCGGCTTTTCCCCAGCTCTGGCAGGGCTTCAGCTGTCAGCCGCCCTGGGCTGAGAATGGACCTCGCCTGAGCCCTCCCAAGATGTTCACTTCTCTGGGAGGTGGGGTTAAGGGCTTGACGTGGTTTTGATATAGTTTTATTTGTTGTTTTGAACTTTTATAGTGGATGCGTTTGCTCTGAAACAGACTTTGACGAAAAAAACGGAATTTTGCAAAAGTCAGAGGCTCCCTCCCAGCTCCTTCCATCCTCCCGTCTCCCAGCAGTGCCATCTGGGGTGGTGCAACTGGGCTGTGCCCTGCTGAGGGCGGCGCGGGCAGCGTGCCCAGAGCCCCAGGGCTGAACCCCGGCTGCACATACATGGTGTGGGATTTTAATTGGTGATAAGTACACGAAAGGTGGGGGTTTTTATAGGCTGCTGTAAGTGTGCACACCACTTCTCAGCAAAAGCAGACAAAATAATCTTTGAGACTTCTGGGGAAAGTAAATATCTCGAGGAACAAAGTTTCTTAGAAGCAGGGTTTAAATTCCTAGTATTTGGCTTTTTTCTTTGAGAGGACCACGCGTGCTGTGAGGCACACAAAGTCTGTTAATAGTCTGATTTTGTTATTGTTTGCATTTATAATAGGAAAATATCTACTCATAAATGTCTTCCTTTGACTTTGAAGAGGAATTCTGAACAGAGTTTTCGAAGAGGGTTGAAGAACAACTGTTTTTGTGCATTTGTGGCTTTTTTCCTTGTTCAGTCCCTTTTGTGAGGACTGGTAAAATCCTTGTACTTGTTGATGAACTGCCATCTGTCTCAACGTGGGCTGGGGACATGGGGGCACGTGGAATTCGAGGGTTGGGAGCTGACTGTAGCACTCCGAGTGTGTTACAACTCCCCTCGTGAGACGTGAAGAAGTCGCCATGGGCCAGCTTCTGTGGGAGGTAGTTTCCCTCTTCGGGGGGTGCAGTTTGATTTCCTTCCTCCTCCTCCTCCTGAGAAATACAGGGCAGGAGCATGGGTGTGTGTATGTCTATATATAGAAATCTGTTTATTTATTTATTTAAGGGAATTGAAATAAACTGTTTTGAAAAGAAAACAGTACGTGCATCTTGCAGTTTTCCTCGTTTCCGTACTGCTCTCTGCTGCCTGTACCTTAAATTCCTCTGCTCTAGCCTGCTTGCATTCTCTGTGCTCAGCCTCCTTTCCCGGCAGAGCTGAGCTTGCTGCAGGCTGCTCTCCTGCTTGCCGTGCTCCAGCCCGGTTTCAGCAGAGGTGACCGGAGCCAGGGTAGGAGGGAGCCGTGGGTCGGAGGCAGTGTGGAGGGCTGGCTCCCCACCAGCCCCAAAACGGTGGCTGTCACCTTTTGGTTGGGCTTGGAGGACGCAATCCGTAGCAAAATCAGCAACCTGTCGGCAGCGTGCTCCTGTCTAGTGTCCTGCCCTGCTATGTGGCATTAAATTCATTTTTTTGCCCCTGGTGAAGCCCTCTGTGCTGCCATGCGGCTGACCCGGCCCCGGGCGGCTGGCTTGCCCAGCCCTGCTGCGGCCGACCGGCGGCATCATTAAAATCAAAGTTTTCTGCCTCTGCTCTTTGAACCATTGATGTGTTGAAAGAAAGGGCACGTCTCATGAGCCACCTTGTCTAGACTTGCCAGGAGTTACCTGGGTGTAATGCTGAGGAAAGCGCTGGTGTAAGCTGTTGGGCCAAGAGGAGCGTGCATGCTGGCTGGGGAGGGCGGCATCACTCGCACGGCCGCTCCCCCTTGGAGCGACAGAGCCCTCCGAGCCCGTGTGGGGCAGTGAAGCAACTCCTCGTTCCCTGGGATAGCTCTGTTGTGCTTTAAGCTCTGTACTGGACAGCTCGATAGTCATGCTGTCTGTGAGGTCATTTCACCGTGTTCCCGGCGTGGCTGTTACAGGTCAGGTATTGGCACGTCTTGGGAATGCATGGACGTGTATTGAGAAAGAGGAAGGCAAAGCAGCTTGGTGAGTGGATGTTGGAAAATGAGATTTTTTCACTCCTGGGGCTGAAGTGGTGAGTGCTGCCTGTAAGAAAAAAACCTCTGAATACTTGGGTTCAGAAATTTTTGACCATTTTAACTGATGCTGAAGCAGTTACTGAAGTGTCTCATATTCTGCAAAACGAATCTGTGTCAGGAAATAGATACAGAAGAAAATGGCTTGGCTTTTGTCACCAAGCACTTAAGCTGCCTGCTAATGGTTTGGAAAGGCAGCAACAGAAGGTATCTGAAAGAGAAATGGCGATATCAAATTTGTTTTCAAGTTTTATCTGCTTCACTAAAATGAAATCTGAAAAATGAAGCTAAATACTTACACACAAGAAGGATGGCAATAACTTGGTGCCTTGGCCACGGTGAGGAACCGTGTTTGGTACATACTACTTGCCTCTGGTTTTGATTGAAATTTCGTGGTATGCGATTAGGCCCAAGATTCCCTGTAGGAACCAGGCAGCACAGGACAGACGAGCCCTTCCGAGTTGGTCGGCTGGCCCTGCTCGCTGGGTCAAATTCCAGCAGAGATTGATGGTAGCTTGTCTCTATTCCGTGGTAATAACCGTCATTTAAATGTAGAGTTTAAGAAACTGCAGGAAGGTTTCTTTTCCAGAGGCCTGTTAAATAGCTGTTATTTCACCGTAAGCAGTGGGGCTTTTCTTTTGTTGTAAAGAGCCAAGTGTCCTGGAAAAGGTTAGAAATACACCAAAGAGTTGGCTCCTTCAGGTCCCATTTTGGGGGGAGCTTGCACCTCTGTGGGTGCGCCTGCTTCCACGCAGGACATAGCTGCCCGTCCTCAACTGCAAGGAAACGGAGCTGGGCGTGTGTGAGGAAAACCCTTGGAAAAGCAGCTTAGACTGCTTGAGCATAGTGTTTCCCTTAAACTCATCTTGCCCTTTTTCTTTCCGTGTAGCAATGGTTTCTGATGGTTGAAGAAAGTCAGAATTTTCTGACTGGGATCTTTTCTGTTTCCCCCCAAAACCCACATAATACACAGTTTTACAGACATTCTGTTTGCAATAATTTAATAATTGCAATAATTTAATACCTGGTTGAAAGGACGTACCTCCTATTTTAAATGCCTGCAGAGTACTGAAAAGGTTCATGTTTTCCTACTAACATGCTTCTATGCATGCAGTGTAGTTGCACAGGATATTTCTGTGACTATAAACCAAAAACCCCCCCCATATTTAAGCAATTGCAGTGAATTATTTTATAAATTACAGAAATGACTTGGGAAGCAAGTCACAGTAAAAAGGAAACTGTTTGATTGTGGTTGGTTGGTGTTTTGTACGAGCCACTGTCGGAAGACGTTGCTAAACACCGATTTTGGGGTGGCTGCGCTTGAACACATCGGTTTGGGTGCTGACGGCTCTCGTGTCTCTCCTCTCTCTGCAGCTCGGCCGTGGTGGATGGCGTTATGATCCTTCCCGTGCTGATGGTGATGGCGTTCCCCTCCCCAAGCTGGCAAGGTGGGTGACCCGTGTGGTGCTGCGGTCGGCGTCTGGGGCTGGAGGAGCCGCTCGCTGGCTGATGGCATGAGCACGTTGTGCTCGGGAACGAGGGCTTCACTTTTCCATTTCCAGTCGCCTGTCTGCGTATAAAGCTCATAGCATGTGTGATTGGTGTAGGTCTCGCCAGGGGCTGGGGAGGGGAGTGGGAAACATGATTTGAATGGCAAATTTTTGAGCTGTGTGACAAGTAGGTCTTTCTAGCCTGTGGGCTGAGGCATGGCTTGCGTTCTTAAAAGCCAGGGTTTTTTCTGTGGGAAGGGTCTTTGGAGTGTTTGGTATGGTGTTTGATAACCTTTCTGCGATTGCAGGAAGGTTATCAAACACCACTTTCTGCGATTGGGAGTGGGAAACATGATTTGAATGGCAAATTTTTGAGCTGTGTGACAAGTAGGTCTTTCTAGCCTGTGGGCTGAGGCATGGCTTGCGTTCTTAAAAGCCAGGGTTTTTTCTGTGGGAAGGGTCTTTGGAGTGTTTGGTATGGTGTTTGATAACCTTTCTGCGATTGCAGGAAGGTTATCAAACACCACTTTCTGCGATTGCAGAAAGGTCTTTGGGTATGGAAGGTGAGTTTTTCCTAGATCATTTATGTCGTGGTGCGCACATCAGGGCTTCGTGGCGTTCAGGGCTTGCCGTGGCAGAAGGGGAGCGGGTTGTTCCTGTTGCCGTGGGGAGGCAAGCATGGTTTGTCGGAAGGCCTTCCTGGTGTTTTGAGAGATGACCTCCTGGAAGGTGCATACTTGCTGCTTCACAAACAGGCTTTTACAAATGTTGAATGAAGGTCTGCTGTGAGTGACTTGGGTTTTATCAGTTCTAAATATTGAGTGACTTGAGAGGTGTATTTAGTGTTTGTTATGGCACATCTAATGCTCTTTGATACTTACCTTGTGAAATCTCTTTCTGAGATGCTCTGCAGAAATAACATTTATTTACAAATGTTGATGCAAATAATAAAAGGCAGAGTTAGAGTGGGTGGTGGAAGGTGAAGATTAAGAATGTGTGGAGGTCTAGTGATTGACTTCAGTCATGTCTATGAAAAGGAAATTGAAACAATTTAAAAAGGGAGGAACGTTGGATGAATGTGGAAATACATTAAACTGCTTGTGTTATTAGTATCTTGAAATAGGGTTTGGTAGGAGTTATCACACTTTACCTTCTTAGCACTGTTGAAGCACAGCTGAGTCTCAGACTTTCTTTGAGCTTTCAGAGCTGTTTGACCCGCCCCTGCCCAGCCCAGGGCTCCCATACGCCATCAGTGCCCAGGGTCCTTGTGATTTTCCTGGTTTATGGGGTTTTGTGGTGTGGACAACAGTAGTAAGGCTGAACAGCTGTTTCTTAGTGCTGGAAGATCCAAAGACTTTGGTTAAATTCTAAGTTGAATCAGTAATGAAATTATTATAGGCTGCCCAGGGAAGTGGTTGGGTACCCAGCAGGTATTTAAATACCATGAGGTATTTAAGACATGTAAATGTGGCACTTTGGGACGCGGGTTAGTGGTGGACTTGGCAGTGTTAGGTTGGGCTCTAATGTTAAGGGTCTTTCCCAACCTGAGTGATTTTGTGATTATTATTCTGGCTGTTGTGCACTGCTTGTTACTGTATGCATTGAGAAAGAGAAAATAAAACTGAGCAGAGTAGTTCTCTACAAACTTATTCTCCGTTTCCCTGAGATGGCTAAGAGTAGTGAGAGGAAGCTAACCACCAGAGGAGAGCTGTCTGATGTACAATTAAATGGACAAATAATTTTTCTTCAATTCATTCTGGTATTAAGCCCCAGCAGATCCTGCCTCTTCCCCCAATCCTACTCATGAGCAGCAATCATAGAATCATATAATCCTAGAATAGCCTAGGCTGGAAGGGACCTTAGAGATCATCTAGTCCAATCTCCCTGTCATGGGCAGGGACACCACCTCTCAACTAGACCAGGCAACACATGGGGACCGGGCGGGAACCGAACCCGCGACCTTGGTGTTGTCATTGTTGTCAGCACCGCACTTAAACCACTGAGCTAACCAGCCCCCAGTGTTCTTTTTAAATGAGTATTTTGGCCTTTGGGTGTGTAGTCCCTTTCACCCTCCTGGAGGTTTTGGCAGCTCTCTGAAATAAGCTTTGCCCGTGTTTTGTCACCTTTGCAATTTGATTTTGAGGGTTTTTTTCCCTGTATGAGAAGAGCCAGGCAACCTTGTGGGGAGGAATCGGGTTGGTGGGGCTGTTCCTCTTAACCCTGCACCGCTGTGAGTCCCGTCTGGGCCAGCCAAGGGCTGGGTAGGCTGAGGTGTGTTTCTCCTGCCCACACTTGCCTTTACCTGGGTCTTTTCCAGCCACATATGGAGAGGTTTTGTTGTGTCACGCAGGTTATCCCTCCCAACACTCGCTCACAGGTGTGTGCTAAATATATGGTGTATCTGTGTAGTAAGATGTACTAGTCTTTATCTGCATGGTGAAATTTAGTCCTGCAAGGAGCAGAGAGTTGGACTTAGTGATCCTTACAGGCCTGTCCAACTTGAGAAATTCTGTGATTCCAAGAAGTTTTGGAAGGGCAGGTGGGCAGTGGCAGTGCACTGCTGAAAGGAAATAGTTTGATATTGCTAAAGCCCTTCTTTAGAAGGTACACGTCATGTAATTAGAGACCGTGTCTTCAGAAGGAAAATTGAAACTTTTATGGTATGTTTTTACTTTTTTATGCCTTTTTAAATTACTTTGTCACATAATTAATGTGGACATTTTTTCAACTTCGTCACTATAGTGCCAATAAGAGAAGGGGGCCAAGTGCCTGTTGTACTTACTGCTTTGATGGAAAATGCATCGCCTCTCTGAATGCAGAGAGATCACTTCAAAACTAAGATGTGATACCAGAAACATCAGTAGTGTATTTCTCCTTGGAGAGAAGCTTCAGGAGACAAAAAACAGTTAATGTTTACAGTCCAAGAACTGGATACAAAGTACGAAATAAAACTGTCAAGATTGGTAAGTGGTTGTGCAAAACGAAGTTTTCTTTCCTTGCACCTGCATGTGCCCGGTGTCCCCAGGGTCCGGCACAGGAGCGCTGCCGCAGCTGGCCTGTCCGGGGCAAACACCGCGGGGTAAGTGCTACCTCTCCCCCCAAAATGTGATGTGATACTGGATCCACCTAGAAGCACTTACTCCCCCTGTGAAAGATGATGACTAAACCCAAGAGCTGCTCGTGGAAGTGTCTGCAGCCACACTCGTCCTCCTGCTGCGCTGCAGAAGAGGAGGCTGTCAGGTGGAGTGTCGTGAGTCTTGCTCTGTTGAAATACCTGGATAGGTGGAGTCGGTGTTCTTAATTGTGGGCTTTCACAGAGCGAATATGCAAGCAAGGGGGTTGCAATTTTAACACTTTCATAAGCGTGGGCTAATAAATGAGTTAATGAGAAGTTAATGCTAATCTCTGTATCTCGTGTGGCGAGTCGGGATGTTCTGTGCGTGTGTGCGCAGTATCTATGGGCCACAAGCGCAGCAATGAGTCTGCCTGTTACGAAACAAAAATATACGTGGTGAATGTGCGTAAGTAATGGAAGTATTTTTAAGCTTGGCTTCTTGCCCACGTGTGTTGCCTGACTGCTCTGTCCGCAGTTGGCCTGACAGCCTGCCCTGCCCGGAGCTGCTGGTGAGCAGGTGCTTCCCTCCCAGCGGCCGTGTTTGTCTCTGCAGCCGTAACCTCCTCATCGCAGCTGCCTCGGGACGTTCGCTGCTCGCCTCTGTGCCGCAGGAGAGCCCAGAGAGCTGTGGAGGAGCATCACCTGGCCCAGCTCTGCCTCAGCACACTGTGAAGCCACAGAGAGCAAAATGCGAGCACAGCCGATCCCACCCCAGGGAGCTGTGGCTGCATATCCAGCGCTCCGAGCTGGCTTTGTGTGCAGGGAGAGCGCAGCCGAGCTTGGACTGAGGCATCTCTCGGGCTTAGCCTGTGGCTTAGCCCTCGCCACTGGCCTGCAGAGACTGGAAGGGGAGTGAAACCAGTGTGATGGGTGCTGCTTGATTTCAAGATTCTTCCCCTAGTTTAGCTTTTGTTAGCAGTTCGGAAATGGGAAATTATTTTGGTGTATTTGCTCACTGTGGGAGGAGGGGAGGAAAACAAAGCAGAAAACAGAGTTTATTCCCAGTGGGCAGACACGAGTGATAGGCTTGAAAACATCTGACACATGGGATGCTCAGTTCCTGGGTTTGGTTCATCCACTGTGTTTGGTGGCTGGAAATTTTCCTCATGTGTTAGAACTAACAGGAGAATGTAAACGCCAGATAGGTTGCCCTAAAAGTGAGCGCGTGTGTGTGTGTGTGTGTGTGTCTGTGTGTGTGTGTGTACAAGAGAGAGCAGGGACTTGGTCTGTCCCTTGCGCTTGTGCCTCTTTCTCAGGCCTCCTCAAAGGCTTGCCTTCCTGGGACAGTGTGTCTGCATTTACTCTTCCAGGAAGCTCGTTAACCCCGCTAAACCCTATATAGCTGTGCCCACTGCAAATTTAAATGGCCTTAACTGGATTTAGTTAATGTCGTTTCCAGGATGCTTGAGAGTAACTATTTCCATGTAGAAATATAATGTGGTTTAGCAAATCGGTTTTAAATTTACAGTTTTTTAAATTTTTCTCTTCTGCTGAGTGTCGTGGTGTAGATGGCCCTCTCGTGTTGCATGCCTGCAGTAGTGTATGTGCGAGAAGCGATGTAAAATGTCGCTGAACTCTTGAAATTTGAGTGCTTGGAGTGAGCAGATATGGGTGGTATTTCTTTGATGGTGCAAGCTCATGCCTTTGTCTTGCTCCAACGGCTAGATTAGTATCGTTAGCACCTACTTGGTGGTTCTTTAGCACTAGCTGCAACTAATATTGCTTCCCTTAAACAGAAGGTTTTATTATTTGATGATTTCATTGTCTCTAACTGACACTCTTAAGAATGTTCAGAATAATTTTCTCAACTCTCCCCTTTTACAGGTGATGAACTAAAGCTAAATACGGTCCACTACGAGTGTGTGTGTGAAGGCATGTCCTGTGGGAATGGAGATCGCTGCCAAGGCCAGCAATGTTTTGCTTCTCTGAGCATTAATGATGGTGCTAAGGTTTACCAGAAAGGCTGCTTCCAAGTCTACGAACAAGGGAAAATGACGTGCAAAACGCCTCCGTCTCCTGACCAAGCTGTTGAATGCTGCCAGGGATACCTGTGCAACATGAACATCACTGCACAGTTGCCTTCTTCTAAAGGTGAGAGGTTAATTAATAAATAGCGAGTTCAGAGAAAGGGGAAGATAAAGCTCGGCTTTCCTCCGCTGTGCTGGGAGCGAGGTGCGCTAGCATCCTCTGACACCTGCACCCACAGGGCTCTGCCTGGGTCACGGCCTCTCTTGCAGGCCAGGTGCCTCCCAAGGGCAGTGTTGGTGTCAGTGCTGCTGGTTTTAAGGACTTTCTCTGGGAATCCAGAAATTTATTTGTCTCTTTTTTTCTCCCCCCCTGTCTTTTTTCCCTCTCCTCTCTCCTTTCTAAGGACAAACCTTTCAAGGAGAAGCTGCAGGCTACAGCATGGAAACACTAATCATTGTTATACTGGCTCCTGTGATAGTGTTGATAGTTTTCTCTGCAGTAGCTGTGCTCATCATCCGGAGAATACAGAAAAACCATATGGAGAGGCTCAATTCGAGAGATGCAGAGTATGGCACGATTGAGGGACTCATTGCATCGAATGTTGGGGACAGCACGTTGGCAGTAAGTAACCTGGGGCCTGGAGGGAACTCGTGTGGGCTTCCTTCACTTCCCAGCTCCCTCTCCTACCTCCAAGAGGGCCACAGCAGCAACAGGAGCTTTGCTGACGGGGATGCCACGTAACATCAGGGATTCTGCGGTGACGTTCCTGTACTCACAAAGCCATAGCTTAAATGAAATTTAATGAGAAGGTAGCTTGTGCAGGTATGGCTCCTTTGACCCAGAGAATTGCTATAAACTCTAGTCAAGCTGGCTGTGTTCCTAGGAGCAATGTCTACATGGCAAGACAGAGTGTGCCTCATCTGGGTAGCCTGCAGTGCTATGGAAGTTGTAAAAATGCCCTGTGTCTTTGATATAGAATCATAGAGTTGTCAGGGCTGGAAGGGACCTTAAAGCCCATCCAGTTCCACCCCCCTGCCATGGGCAGGGACATCCCCCACTAGATCAGGCTGCCCAGAGCCCCATCCAGCCTGGCCTTAAAAACTCCCAGGGACGGGGCTGCCACCCCCTCTCTGGGCAACCTGTGCCAGGGTCTCACCACCCTCATGGTGATATACAGAAGACAGCTTGAAAGGCTGGAAAAGATGTGATGCTAGGGGAGGAAGAAAATATTGTTAAAGATATTTTTAACTTTTAAAAAACTTCAAACGTGACTCCCGTGATCTTAGCAGAAGGGCCCTTGTATGCCTGGGAAATCAGTGAAATTTTGTTGACACAGGAGTGGTAGGAATTTTAAGGAACGAGAATTGCTTAATCAAAATTCTGTTTTGAAAATATGTTCTTGTTCATGCATTCTCTGGAAAATAAAATGACATCGAGGGAAGGGTTTCCTTTTTAAAGAGTTAATGTATCTTTCCATTTCACTTGAGGCCAGGAAAAAAGCCTTCCCAGCAGCCTTCCCATGCTTTACTGAAGCTGAGCAAGTAAGGCTTCAGAGGCAGCTTGAGTGTTAGGTTCCGAAACCAATGCAAAGATGAGAAGTTTTCTCCTCCTTGCATTTCTGAGATAAAATCTCTTCAGTGTTAAGAGTCTGGAAAACATTTTCCATCTTGGTGCTTTCCTGCCACAGTGTGCTTTCACTGGAGGGTTGAAAAGTGGCTAAAGAAAAATGGTCCAAACCACAAATATTTTAAATAATATACTGCTAAATACTTTGACTTTCTGTGTTTTGGACTGGGTTTTTCTCTGCGGGAGAGAGAATCTGAAATGGATATTTCTTTAAGTGAGGAGTAACTTTCAATATCCGCATTAGAAGGTGTTGGTTACTACCAGCTAGGGAAGCAGTTGTGACTATGTCCGAAAAGCACCCCAGAAGACGTTGGAGCTCCTCACCTGAGAGCTGGCAATTGCTTTGCAGGCCCAGCTATAGGAATTTATTAAAAGATGGTCTTTGGGACTGCTCAAACAGAACTGTTTTGGGGATCTGGAAACTATTTCTTGATGCCTTTGTTCTGAGACGGAGAAGTTTCTTCAAAATACTGCTGTGATAAATGCTGCAAGAGTCTGGTGGAAAACCCTTCCATGCACAGGACAGCATGTCCTGAGAAGATTCAGGGCTTGAGATGGCCTGTGAGGGATGCCTTGGAGAAGAGTCTTCTTTGAGGGAAAACTAGGTTAAAGCTGAGTGATCGGGCTGCTGGATGCCCCAATATGTGTTTTTGAAACAGCTGGTGTGGGGAACGAGTAAGTAAACCAGTGCTTCAGCCTGGAGGATAGCCTGGTGTGGGATGATGGAGGCACAGCATGGCAAGGGCTGGGAGAGGGTGGATTGGAATCAGTTGTTGGCCCTTTGCAGTACAGTAACAGAGGGAGGCATCAAAACTAGCAAGTAAGAGGAAGGATGAAAATAAGCGAAGTGGTTCTTGATGCAGGTAATTGAACCAGTGGAACTTCTTGCCCAGTGATTTTTCTAAGGCTGCAGATGTGAGTACATTCAACAAGCAACAGGTTGAGAAGACTGTGTGTTGTTAAGCAGACTAAAAAAATAAAAAAAAAACCAAAACAAAAACTAGCTATGGAAATCCCTGAGCTGAATGTGACTGAAGGCTGCCAAGGGCATCAGAGGAAAGTATTGCGTGTGTTAAATATTCCCATGTTTGCTTCTGGTTCACTCCCCTCTAACCGTGCCGTGACTCTTAACACCTGATGCCCCTGTACTTCCGTATGTCTAATACTCCTCTCAAATACTGCCCCAGTTTCCCCTCGTGTAATGCCCTACTGAAGGGCATTGCTTTTGGGTACGCTCAGAGACGAGACACCAATCGGGAGGACCTTTGAGCAGTTTGGTTTTTTCTGTGCCATCTGCCTTGGCAGGATGGAGCAAGCAAGCAGCCGCCCCAGCCGTGGTGCAGGCTGCAGCAGATTGCTCCTGCTGCCCTGCTAGCTTGCTTCAGCTGGATCCTCTATGCACTTGGTATTCTCTGACGCCTTTAATTCTCTGTAATTAGCCGACAAGGCTTGATTCTGTGTCCCTGATCTAAACCAGCTGGTTTCGGTATGTTCACCATCACCTGAGCCTTGTGCAGCTGGTTATCTGTCTTCAAGCACTGACTTCCAGCTTTTACCATCTCTTATCTGTGCAAGACCATTCCATTTCCATTGACACTTCAAGTCATTTAACGATACTTGAGTGATAAAACCTGAGAAGAATAAATCAAAATTCTTTCTAAAAGAAACAGAGAAGTTGCTCGCTGTGAAGGCTGGGTCTGAGCTGTTTGTTCTGGCCAGACCTGCTCAGCCCTGTGCCTCCCCAGCGCTGGTGGTGTAACACAATTGATAGCTCCTTCTTTGTAAGTGTTCATCTAATCAGTAAGCCTTTTTTAAATTCCAGATTTTTCTTCTCCATTGTGTACTTTAAATTGCTGTTTTTGTTACACATTAGATAGGTTTACGTTTAGGATTAGTCTCCACAGTGTAGCAAATGCTGAAAGCCATAAGCTTCCTAATGGGGAGTGGAAAGAGCTGTGGCCTCTTCAAATCTTGTTTTTATAGTCACTGCAGATAAGATTGTTTGGGTTTCTTTTTTTTTTTTTCCCTCCCCCCTTCTGATACAAGCAGGAAGGAAAATGAGCTCTCAGTTTGTATTAAAAAGGAAAAGCAAAGCAGCAGTCTTCTCTCATTCTTAGATTATCTTTTTCTTGAGCACTCATGAAAAAACTGTTAGGATAAATGAGAGTTCATCAGATCTGGTTAAAGCCCAGTAGTGCAGTTTGCTGGAGATATTAGAAAGTTGATTATGCTTACTTTTTGGGGTTTTTTAAATCCTATTTTCCTTTGTAAAGAGAAAAAACCCCTCAGTAATACAGTTACTAATGCTTTGAACTAGTGCAGAATCCCTAGCCATAAAAGTAGCTGGGTATTAACACTTTGAAAGTCTAATAGGTTTTTAACATTCAGTTAGAATTTGTGAGTTTTTGTGGGGTTTTGTGTGTTTGGTTTTTTTAACATGCTTACAGTTTGAAGTCATGTTTTCATGCACTAAAAATCCAGAAACTGATAAACACTTTTAAGAAAGACTGACTATGGAAGACATGTGGCTGTATCAATGATGTATTATCGTGCAGGTGATACAGGTAACATTCCTGTCACCTTGTGTATTTCAAACCAGTTATAAATAACTGTACCAAACTTGAATAGTTTGGGAAAAAACTCCCTATGACCGTTCCCCACCCCAGAACGCCTGCTGGTGCTGGTGGTGAGGGGCTGTTCATTTGAGCGTAGTTCAGCCACATCAGGGAAGGAGAGTTGCAAGAAGTGATTTGGGTGATGTCTCTCGGAGAAGTTCTGATGTGGGGCAGGGACTTGAGATTTGTGGGAGAAGCCGCCGCGGTGCCTGACGTGCTTGTGGCCATTCTTCTCAGGGCTTGTTGTGCTCAGCCACCTCAGCCTCTTGCGCTGTCAAAGATGTGTCCGTGGGCAGGTGGGTCCTTTCCCCGCAGGTGACGAGCAAGTGATGCTTCTCCTGTCCCGACGCGTCCCGTTGGCGCCGTGGCTCCGTGCAGGATGGCGCTGGCAGCTGTGCCACGGGGGTCAGAGCTGGCTTGTCCCCACGGTGGGTACTGTCAGATCGGAGTGCCGTCTGCGGACCCCAGGCTGTGGGCTGCTGTCCCCCCTCAGCACACGTAGACCCAAAAGTCAGCCGTCTACCAGGATTTTCGGCAAAACTGGCTCCCCTCCCGTGTTGCTTCAGAGAAAATGGTCAGACAAGCATGTACAGGAAACAGCTTAAAAAGGTGCTGGAAAAGCGAGCTGTGTGGCAGGGGTATGTCAAGTTTATCTGTACCATTTCAGTTAGAAACTCAGCTGTGGCTGTCTCTGGAGTCTGTTTATAGCAGTAAAAAAATTCAAAGTTCTCAGTGTCTCTCTGTGGTACGCCTTTATTCATAGGGATTCGTAAAAATGCTTTTGGGAATATGCAGTGCTCTAGATCAGTGGGGCTGGGACACGACCTTAGCTTTAATTAGTGAAAGCCCATTTGTGTTGCTGTGCCCTCCTGGTCACACCTCTTTGGGGAAAAAGCCACAGGTGTCTGGAAGAATGGGAAAAGTCTGCAGGAATGTTCAAAAGTAACTGCTGATTTTCTTTCTGCTAACTGAATAGGGATGAAGGTCTTCAGTATAAGAGCCAGAGAATATAACTTTATTTCTTTTGGAGGTGGCTCTGATTATTGCAAGGCATAGAAAAACTTTATGGGGATAATAAAGCTGATACTATCCTGTTTGAAGTAGGTGATAGATACAGAATTGAGAGAGCATAAGCTGAGTAGGAGAACAACGAAGTGCTGGAAAAGGGTGGAATTTCGGCAGAGGATAGCTCATTGGTGCAAGTGAGCTTCTGACCTCACAAGCAGTAAAATTATTGTAATTTATTTATTAAGCAAAATGATACTGTAATGGTAAATATAAGATAGTGATGAAATAAGAAGTCTGAGAATGGAATGAAGCTTGATTCATTTGCTGTTTCTTGGTGTGTGGTTTGTAAACTACCAGCAGGAAGGGATTATCCCGAGTTGTGGCTCCCCTTCCAGTCTCTTCTGTGTGTGAGTTGTCTTTTGAACTGGTAGAATCTCGCAAAGAGCGTTATTCCTTTTCCATCTGTGTGGGGATGGGGACAGTCCTGTGTGACCAGTTGGCATCACCAGAGCCACCGAGATACCCGTGGGCTTTAACTGAACCTGTCCTGGGAAGTGGGGCAGCTTTGTGTGTTTAAACAGTGACAAAATGTATTTTCTCACAGGTTGTGAACTTCTGCTTTTCCTTTTGAACAGGATTTATTAGACCATTCCTGCACATCTGGAAGCGGTTCGGGACTTCCTTTCTTGGTGCAAAGAACAGTGGCTCGCCAGATCACGCTTGTCGAGTGTGTAGGTTAGTGGAATTCTTTTCTGCATTGAGTGCCAAGTCGGTAACAAGTGCAGAGAGAAAGCTTTATCTCCCATCCTCTGATTTTCCTTAGTTGCTTAGATAAAATATGTGAAACTTTTCAAGCTTCAGCTGAGAGAGTGTATTTGGGTTTGGGAAGTGAAGTGAAAAAATTAGTTTTGGATCCGTGCAGAAGAAAGGGGCAAGTATCACCTGTGCTTTATGATTGACAAATTCAAGCTTTGTTCAGTGAGATATTAGAAAATACAAACTAGGTTTGTTTGGGTACTCTGTGAGCTAAATAAGCTATGCTTTTAGAAAAGCAGGCTCAATTTGAATTTGAAATTTGAAACTGTCAAACTGTGAGACAAGCACTTATTCATTAAATGCTGTTCAATTAGAAAAGGATCACCTGGAGTTGAGAGATCTGCAGTTGAATCGTCAAGAAAAGTGGCTAACATGGTGTTAAAAAAAATCACCCAAAATCCACCGAAGAAAAACTCTTGGTTTTTTTATGCCATTAGGCTGGGAACACAAAAGTTTTGTAACTTCCTTGCTCTGCACTGTTACTTTGGGACTGTGCAGGCATCATGCACTGTTGCTGCTCTTTTTCCCCCTTAAGGAGAGAATCTCTCTGGTAATTCTTCCCTAAAACTCTTCTGGATCTTTAATTTTTTACAGGGCTTCAGTGTTGATTTTAAGGATCCGTTAATTTTTTTCTTGAACATATGTATATTATTAATTAAATGGCGTTAAATTTGAATTTAGTAATTTTAGGAAACATTTGGGCCAAAGATATCCTGAGACAGTGACATTGTAGGAAAAAAAGACTGTTTTGTGATTTGAACTCGGAATGGGTTAACACCTGCCTGTAAGTTGCTGGAAGTTTTAACTGTCAGAGTATTAAATTAAGCCCGACTAACGTGGATGAATCTGAATCTATGGGCCTATATTTTAGCAGTGATTTTTTGCTTTTGGCTTGTAGTATGTATTGAGTAGGCACAAGTGTTCACACCTGCATTAAATCGAAGGGCACGTCCTCTGATGTGCTGCAATTTCTCTTCATCAGAAACTGTGCAATATCGCCTGTGTGATTTTTGTCTGTGATAGAGGCAGCTCTCTGTGCGAGTGTAACACGTGTGCGTAAGCGTGTCTCTGGAAGTACGCCACGTTGCTTTGCTCTCGGTACTTGATAATTTCGTGTGTCTTTTAAGCTATTTGGGCAACAGGCTTGGCATGCACACAGTGGGTGCTGATGTCCACGGGACAGGGTGGATTTTAGGAGTTTTGAGGGTTTTTTTTGTTTTGGGGTGTTGTGCATTTTTGTTTAGATGGATTTTGATTTTGTTTTGTTGGTTTGGGTTTGATTTTTTTTGTTTGTTTTTTTGGTTTTTTTTGTAAAATCATTGTTCTGCATGTTTTGTGTCTGACTGTGCCAACTGTTTTGGCAAGCACTGATAATGTAATAGAAATGTAAAGGCTGTGTGTATCCCCAGCGTTACATATCCTCCCTGTGCCCCTAGCTTCAGAATTCGTAGATTTACTGGCAGGGCTCACAATGGCCCTGCAGTACGCTGCCCCAGCTGCATTGCTGCTGGCTGGCTGGTTCCCCCAGCCTGGCACGAGCGCTCCGCCTTCCGTATCAGCGTGTGAGGAGGAGAGATCCACTCTCTTGGAGCTAGTGGTTGAAACAAACAGGAAAAATGAGGGGGCAGAGGAGCATAACGTGACTGTGGAGCGGTAACAAACGTGTGCTGGGGTGGTGAGACTACCCCAGTGCGATATTTGGGCTGTGGCTGTTGAGTTCCCGTCCTGTCAGCTGCTCCTGACCGCCTGCCCTGTGAATGCCATTGACACCTTTTCCTGTGTGTTTTGCCCCACCAGGAAAGGGCCGTTATGGAGAAGTTTGGAGAGGTCAGTGGCAAGGAGAAAATGTTGCTGTGAAGATCTTCTCTTCTAGAGATGAAAAGTCCTGGTTCAGGGAAACGGAGCTGTACAACACTGTATTGCTGCGGCATGAAAATATTTTAGGTAAGTAGGACAACCGTGTTCATGTGTCCTAGTGTGGCTGGTGTAAAGGTGAGCTGACTGGACTGTTCACTTGTGGAGCACTGCACACTTGCTGGGTATCTTGCAGTCTTTGAGATTAGGTCCTTGTGTTTGCCATAAGTAGTTGAAAAGAAATTTTGAGGGGTACGCTTGCCAGGACAGTGCTGAAATCTTAGTCCTGACTGCCTTCACAAATCATTGTCCTCCTCTAAGGTTCTAGCAAGAAGCAATTGGGCAGATGAGTCAACTGTTGGAAGAAGAATGGAGGTGCCACAGACCTGCATGTGAAGAATTTGCCCTTGTGGCACTTGTTGAAGGCAGCCAAATGGCAAGAGTGCTGCAGAGAGGTTCTGGTGGCTCTTGATTCTCTTACTGCTTTGATTTATCTGGGAGGAGTCAAGAGAGAAAAAAGTGAAGAGGAGTTCATAATGAGATTTAAGTATTTTAATACTTTTTCTTGTGCCTGAATAAGGTGCAGCATGAATCCATTATCTTCCTCTGTGTAACTGTCCTGCCCAGGGTCAAACAAAGCTCCTTTAGTGTTCGAACATCAGCTATAGCTGCCCCTTGATGGTGCATCCCGTTTCCCTGTGAATAGGGAAGTACCGCAAGTTTGAATCTTTCCTATTCCCTGTGCTTTGCATGCTCGGTTCCAAGTGCTTATAAAGTGGCTTTTGTGTTGTGAGCCGTGGATGAAGTTTAAGCAGCCCTTTGGTTCCTAGCAGACATGACCTTCTTACGCTGGTGTGCCACCAGCAGCTTGTTTTCTGAGTGCTGACACTGCCTCACCTGCAATCTGTCTGTCTTCAGTCAGCTGTATTTGGGCTCCTTATTCTTGTTTTCTGTCAGAGAATATTCCTGCGCTCTGTGGCTCACCCTGCTAGACGTTTGTCTAATGTTTCCTGAAGCAGTTCCTTTGTTACTATAAAAATAATTTGGTGGCCTACTGAAATGTGAATTATTGAACTTTCCTTCCCGAGAGAGCAAGTAACTTGGCTGAAATTACATTACACGTTTCCCATGGTCCTCTGTCTGTGTTTAGTCTTTCTTGATAACTGTCAAATTTGTTGGCTATTTTATGGATTTATTTTTTTTAGGTGTGATATTAGACGATAATGTAGATTACAGAAGTGTCACACTGTGCGAAAGTCTGACTTCAAGAGAGAAGGAGTGGATGTTCTTTGTGAGGAATGTCATATGCGGGCTTTTAATAAACATGACTTATTCCTCTAACTTGGGAAGAAAACTTTTGTTGCTTCCCAGCTGAAGTTGAGGTCAGCAGTGCGCTGCTGCACAATAAATTCAGAGGTAACAGGGAGGGAGCCGCTCCTGCATTTTGGGTTCTGTTTTAAGACACCACGTTTTTGAAGGTAGTTCTTTTGGTTCACAAGTTTCAGAGAGAAATTTTTCTCCATTCCTGTGTAGAAAATCACTGTGAAGTAATAGCTGTGGTGCAGAAGGGACTCTGCCTTACCTTACCATGGAAGGACGTTGCACACCAGTTGAACTGCCTGGTGTTCAGAATAGAAGAAGTAGTGTTCTTTGGGTTTTGCAGTACTAATTCTCTGCTGCTGCCACACTTTCCTTAGCCATCTGCCGCGTTTTCTGTCCAGTGGCACCGGTGTGGGCTGGGGAGCGGTTGAGACGGTTGGGTGTTTGGAGCTTGGGCAGCTCAGAACAACGCTGTAGTTCTCGCTCCCCAGGCTGCCACAATCCCTCTGCAGCCTTTTAAATGATCGGAGATCACTGCTGAGCAAGTTGTTGCCGGGCAAGAGGAGATTTTTTCGGTTCATGTGTGGCCAGTGGGGCGGACGTGCCTGTGCAGACAGCGAGCTTTTGGCGTGGCGAGGTGGGTCGCTGGAAGTGCTCTGATAGACTTCCCCTGGCTGGATGTGTGAGGCTGGCACAGCACATGGGCACCTGTTTACTGGGACGCGATACGTACATGAAACACATTTAACGCTTTCTCAGTGGCCTGAGTTGGCTGCTTGCTCTCCCTAAAACACCGTGTCTGCCCGAGGTATTGCTCCTTTCCAGTGTGACCCTGTCCAGTGGGCAGCAGCAGATGGGCAACAACTTGGTGGTCTTTTTAACTGGAAACTTTCTTGCTCCCAAGTCCTTCAGAAAGAGGGGAAAAAATTTAATATTTTTTTTTTTATTTGTAAAAGTGTGTGATCCTAGAAAGTAATTGCATTTGGTGTGACTGACAAAATAGACAAATATGTTCTTGTGAAGAGACTTGAGTCCAGAATAAGTCAGCCCTTTTTTCATCATAGTAGTACATGCAGTCTGTGTTCAGTGCAGTACAATCATGGGAAAGTTTTAATTAGAGTTTTAAATTGCAAGAGGGGCCTAGTAGCATTGATTCTTGAGGGAGTCTTGAGGGAGCTCTGTCACTTTGGTTTCTCCTTTTTCCTTTCTCTCTTTCTAGGTTTTATTGCGTCTGACATGACTTCCAGGAACTCCAGCACACAGCTGTGGTTAATCACCCACTACCACGAGATGGGGTCTCTGTACGACTACCTGCAGCTCACCACCCTGGACACCGTCAGCTGCCTCCGCATCGTGCTCTCCATTGCCAGCGGCCTCGCGCACCTGCACATCGAGATCTTCGGGACACAGGGCAAGCCGGCCATCTCCCACCGGGACCTGAAGAGCAAAAACATCCTCGTGAAGAAGAATGGGCAGTGCTGCATAGCAGATTTAGGTGAGCTCAGTGTCCTGAGAGCCATCCTGCGGGAACCTCTGCTGGTACGGGGAGCGGGAGACAGACTCCTGGCAGCAGTGACAGCTGTGAGGTGGTGATGCTGCCCACCAGGACCCCATCCCCCTGTGTCCTGGTGGGACCCACCCTGATCACCTGTCCCAGGACTCAGTGGCCACCGGGCTGCAGCTCCCACAGATCAGCTTCCAAGCTCCTTTCCCCGAGCATCCCAGAGCCCCGTGCTCCCTGGGTCCTTCCAGTGCCAGTCTTGCGCTGGATAACTCCTCCAGCCCGGTGTGGGGCTCTCCACCACCCCTGGATCTGGGCTTTAAGGAGTCCGGAAAAGTCTAGAAGTCCAGACTGAGAAAGGCCATGGCAGTGTGGCTCGTGCACACCTCGGGGTGCCTCTGACAGCATTTTACTTTTTTGAAGACAAGGGAGAAGGTAGCGGTGCAGCAATAGAATTGGCGAGTCAGAAGTGTACCCAGAGATGGGAATTTGTTTTCGGTATTAATTCCACTGCGTAGTTCCTCTTGCTTTTGCCTCAGGGACATGAGATATGCACAGGGAAGATATGAAAATCATGCATGTGCACCTGTCTAAATTTGCTGAGAGAATATAAGTTAAAAGCTGAGCAGTAAATTGAAAACGCAAAGCTTCAGAAAGCAGCTTTTAATTATATTTTACATTGAGGAGGGGGTGCAGCATGTACTGGCATTGATTGACATCACGCTGATAAAATGAAATCTACTACATTATTTACCTAGAGGCTTCAGATATTTGAGAGATTTTCTGAGAGAGCACAGCAATAAACATTTCCCAGTTTAGTTTTGAAGATGGTAAAATAGCTATTTTTAAACATGAAATCCTCAGGCATGCGTCTGATAGATGTTTGTTACTTGTCTGTAAAGGAGAGTTACCATGGAGTTCACTGCTTCTGGCCTATGTTTATGCCCTTTTTTCCTGTATAGCTTTGTCCTTTTTTTTTTTTTTCCCTCTTCTCTGAGACTCGTGAGTACAAGCAGATGGAGAGATTCACTAGAATTATGGAATCATAGAACAATTCAGGT